CATATATGCTATTGTAACAGTAGTTACACAATATATGTGATTGCTCAACAGCCCTCAATTACGTGGAACCAGTAATGACTGAAAGACTCCATGTACCGTTTTTGGGGAGTTTTTGGATGACATCCACTGCAGCCTGAAAGCGTTTCTGGTGATCAACCACAGGCTCTATCATGGCTGGGACTGGTGTGACACAGGAAGCATGAGTGGAGCTGCAGCTGAGGGAGAATATATACACAGATGTGGAAGTAAAAGTATAAGAAAAAATAAGTTATGAGAGTGAGTCAAATCCAATATTAACAAAATATACCGTAAATCAAATTAATCTGTGACTCTCTGGGCATTTTTTCATTTTGGGGGGTAAATCAATTCAGTTACTAATAGGTAATTAGGTCATAATTAATTCATGCTGGCTATTAATGTAATGTTTATATTTGCCTTGACCCAAGTACCCCTACTGTACTTGTACTTTATTTAACTTTAAAGTTTCGGTCACATACATGTGTCACTCGTAACTTAGTAACTACTTTTAATGCTGTTTAACTTGGTAATGCATTTGCTGGAATTTTCTGATAAATATCAATATGTAGATATACAGCGCTGCTACAGTGAACTTTGGCTGCAAGCGAGCTTAGTGTGAGTTAGCTGTCTTACCTTACTGACTACGTCCTGCCGCTGTCCATGATCACGCCGAAGAAAGACAGCTCGGCAACCTCGGCCAAAAGAGTGACAGAGCTGGCAACAAGACGAAGCTTGCTATGTCTTGGTCTACGCTGACGGTAACGTTTGTTTACAAAACGGCTCACTAGCCACCTGCCACAGGCTTACCTACCGTCCACTGCAGCTACTCACCAGTCTGCGCTTTACACAAATAACTTCCGTGTCAAATCACGTGACAATGAGGGCGTCCTCTTTTCCTACTGCCTGGTAGCTCCATACTGAATATGGGCATACTGGACATCCTTTGTCCAATAGATCCACTATCCCTCCACTTCACTAAACCATGCCTCTCTAAATTTGTATCCAAACCGCGAAAATCCAACCTGAGCTATCCCAGTGACATACCTGCTTCTTTTCTTGTCCATCCTGGTCACTCTCAATG